GTAATCATGTATTGCTAGTTCTGAAACTGATGCAAAGTATGCATATGCAGAATTTAGATTATATGGGTGAGAAATGCAAGTGGGAATAAGTAATGCTGGAGAAGTTAGCAGAGTTTATGTGGGCTATAAATGCAGCAAAAAATTATGCAGTCCAAGTCCTGCAGAGCTGGTGTGTCCTGTGCTGACTTGCCAAACCATGAGCTGGTTTTAGCTCCATTGCTATTGGCTTGTACTGGCTGCAGGGGGGTAACAGAGCTATCTCCCCACCAAATCACAGCATTCTGTCTTATTTTAAGCACATAAACCTAGCAGTAAGAGCATGATTAAAAATCTGTCAGAAAGAATGGAGACATTTCTACTAAATCTCGATTGAAGATCTAATCTGCACTTTTTTTCCCTATATTCACATTTCAAAGTTTAGTGAATTCTAATTAATAATGAGAATGGCAGTCTAGTAGGCAATCCAGTTCACTGGAGTATAGCCAGAAACCTAAATGCACAAGAAACATAATAAGAAGCAATAGGCAAAATGTTTGTATACAAATAGTGGGAACATAGGTAAAAAAAATGGACAAACTTTACCTACGAGTGCAAGACATCTACACAAAGAACCTAGGGATAACAAAAACCTATCAGAAAAAATAACTGGAGTCAACTGAACAGTACAGGTTTAGTACTGAATAGTACAGAAAGGAGGTAAATAGAGCTGATAACATTGCCTGAAACTGTAAGTTAATTTGTGATTAAACTAGTTATGTTAGTAAAACAAATTCTGTTTGGATCAAGCACTTCAAGCATGCAAAAAGTTGCTGTTTGTTTTGAGAATTAATGCTTGTAGAAGATCCCCAGGGTGTCAGATTTAATTCTGGAGCATTATTGTAGAGAGGAATGTAAAACAGAATCTGTCATTAAAAAATGTTGAAGCTCAGAAATTTCTTCATCAGTTACTAATCCAACTAAAGATAATGACAGTATAGATCTGGTTTTGCTTTGAAGTACGTAGCTAACAAAATGTAACCTCTAATCAAACATTCAGGCACTGAGTCAATTAACATTACATGACAATAAGTAATGATCAGCAGACTTTAATAATCAAAACAAGCTAGTTAAATATATGAAATATTATGTGGGTTTGTGGTTGTTTCTGAGAAGAAGACATCAAATTTCATCAAGTGTAACATACTGTGTTGTGTCTGAAAACAGGGGACTAAGCTCAGTAATCCAGGAAGTCCCCTCCAGACCCATTTTTCTAAATTTTTCAGTAAAATTCAAGAGCCTTAAGTAAATCAGAGGTAACTTTAGGACAGTCTCACAAATTTGCTTGCTGTCAGTATTCTATAAGATTCTTCAACTCAGTGCTGAATTTAGACGTTGAAGAATCTGTTTTTGTGGCAGTGTAGATTTTTGAGATGTAGGCCAGGGTATCTGTTGTCTACTGGGTGTCTGTCAAACCTGCCAGTTCATCTCGAGAGTCTGATTCAGATGCCTTCTCCATAGATCAGCCTTTCTGGGCTCCCTCATCCCTGAACAGTCTCAAGTAAGATGAGGTTGGTGTGGCATGTGTACAGTTTCTACAGGCTAGTGAGGAAGATAAAATTGGAGAGCACCTGATAAGAGAGGATTTTCACCCTGGAGAAGAAAAGACTCAGGGGGATTTTATCAATCTACATAAATACCTGTACAAAGAAGATGGAGCCAAGTTCTTTCTAGTGGCAAGAAAAGAGGCAATGGGCAAACACTCAAACACAGGTTCCCTTTGAACATCAGAAAACACCTTCCTGCTGGAAGGGTGACTGAGCACTGACACAGGTTGCCAAGAGAAGATGTGGAGACTACCTCCTTGAAGGTTTTCAAAAACCACCTGGACATGATCCTGGGCAACTGGTTCTGAGGGATTCTGATTGAGCAGGGTTTGGACAATATGACCTCTAGAGATTCCTGCCAAGCTCAATCATTCTGTAAGCAAGCTCCAGTCATTTTAGTAGATTTAATTCTAAAAGTGAGGCAAAGTTTGATGCTTAATATAAATGTTCTGCTTAACTTCATAGATACCCACTCACTGTGAAACTGTGATTTCTGGAGGCAGACTATAGCTTGCTCAGAAAATCAGACAGGAGTTATAAAGTGATCACTATTATGCTTGTCCATATGCACCCATTATTATTAGAAGCAGCAGGAGAGAACAGGCAGAAAAGATGCTACAGGAACCTTTAAGGGAGGTTTCCTAAAGAAGAGAGGTTTTGAACTTTGCATTAGCATGGCACTGGCTCTGTAATGCTCTTAACTTGTCTCTCTCTTCCTACCAAATGCTGAGTACTTCTCTCTGTGTCAGCAATGAGGAACTCTCAGCCTGGAAAAATGAGTTAGGTTTGGAGAAAGTACAGTTGAGAGAATATTTTGAAGGATTTCTAAAATTAACCCCTTTTTTTCCTTCTTCCTGTCTCATGATCTAAAACTGTTTCTTCCCACTGCAGTCCCACTGTAACTCCTTTCTTTGAGCTGAACTTAGTAACTCATGCCCTTGTGCTCATCACACTTAACCTGAGGCTGTACATTCTCCAAGTGGCAGTACAGCAGGTGGGTCCCAAATGGTCCCACTGTGACTGAGTTACAGCTTCAGGCATGCTATTCGTGTTATACCTCAGAAACAACAAAGAGCTTTAAAGATATTGATTCAGGAAATGCTGGAAGATTTTCTGCTGGCCTGTGAGGGATAATGGAAGGTTTTTATTTGAAGAAGTTCTTGCCCAAGATCTTCCAGTGCTCAGTTTTGCCTGTTTAGTGACTGGGGAAAGGGACTACTTTGGCCTGTATGTTTCCTGACTGCCCTCCTTCTGCAAAAGCTAATTTCTTTTCACTACAGATCTATATAATGTCAGCTAGTTTATGTAATTTTCTGATATATCAAAACCGTATTGATTTAAGTTTTATATCACAGCTAATCCTGTCCAAATACTGAAAGTTAGGGGCTGAGAACAGGCAATGATTTACTTGCCCAACACAAAAATTGCATTTTTCGTTTTGCACTCTGCTAATGTATTGTAAGAGAGGATGAACAAACAGATTGGTCTCCTCCCACCACATAGCTGCATTGCCAGCACTCAGGGAAATAAAGACTGCATGGATTAAAAAGTCGCAAGGTTACTGTTAAGGCACAGCTACTGAAACAGCAGCGTGCACTGAGCAGCTCTCAGTTCAACAGAAGCTGTCCTGTTGTGAGCAATGTCAACCTCACTGCTAACGTGGGAGCCAGGGATGAGGATGCAGGTAAGATCTTTCTATATCAGGGCATGAGCAAATCATGATGAATTGCAGCCATTGACACAGGAATTTGTACGGTGCATATTTTCTTTTAAATTTTGGCATTTGAAAACTGCTTTATTTTTAGCTGCTTGAGACAAAAGCATTGGAGTTTTTTCAGCACTGTCTATGAAGTGACATTACTGTTTGTGCTTGTTTTGGAATCTATTTATGATGCACATTTAAGAAAGCATTTGCAGCTCCTAAGGTTTATGTGTGTAATACAATCATTTAAACAAACTTCTTAGCATTTTTCCCCTAGGCACCCTCTGAAGAAATCTTCCTCTGAATCATAGTGCATATGCAATTAATTACTGCTGGGCTGTTACACAGACTGATCATGTGGGAATTGACCATTTCTTTTCCACATAGAAACAGCCTTTCCCTTTTGTCCTCACTTAGAAACAGCCCTGGCATTGGCATCTCGAGGACGCTCTTATCCTCAGTTTGCTGGATTATATATTCTGATTGAAATACTTGAAAGACATAATTTCATAAATACACTTAAAGCAATTCCACCCAAACCACCTCATTCTCCCTAAATCATTCTCATTTTATTGCTGAGTTTTCAAATACCTTTAAAATGCTTTATGTTATGATGTGTCCGTTTTTGAATTGTGTACCGTGTAGACATCTCACAGTATCCTGGTGATTAATTATATCATAATAAGACAGTCTTCACTTAGAAAAATATTTTAACTTCTAGAGTTTTGGTTTTTTTTCTCTAAAGATGCAGACTTTTTTTATGAAAGTGAAAACTGACTGTGGGTCATCAAACTATTCTAAATATTGTTTGCATTGATAACTCATTTTTATTTTAATATACACCTTAACAGTATGTAAAAAAATATGGCTAAAAATATATAGATCTATTCTAACACCAAGAAGAATCTTGAACTTATTTCTGAACTTTTCAGTAACAGTAGATGGTTGGTGCGTGGGCAGTATGGAGATCCATAAATAGCCTGTTGACTTCAAGTATTCTACTTCCATATTTTCAGACTGATAGGTCTGCTATACATGAGACAAGACTTGAAAGTAAAGGTAGTATCTTTGGTTTTACTTGACCAGCTGCCTACGTGAAAATATTAAACTGATTTTCAGATATTTGCCTAGATTTTTTTAATGTAAAGCTATTGAAGCTACCAAAAAAAAAATTGTTATGTCATTGTCCTTGAGCCTTTTGGCTACAACAAAATGCCATGAAACATCTCTGTGTTATGTAAGATAGATAGTTCATGCCTAGAATAGGAAATGACAGTAGCACTTCGGAATGGCTTTTGGCAAGTAATCACATTTAATAGAAAATTGTCAAAATCATGATCAATGCAAAAAGTATTTCCTTATGCACATGCATACACAGTCTTTCATTGCTATTCATTGATTCTTAAGTCCAGGAATACTTACTTTTTTTTTTCTTTTACCCTTCACCAAACAATGGTATTTCTTGACAACATACTGCCCAAATAATAGTCCATTTTACCTTGTAAAAAAAGTAATCTAGGGAGACTGCACTGAAAGGAGTTGGGAAGATAGGGAGGAAATGTTTAGAGAAGGTGAATGTCTGGATTCATCTTAATTTTCCATCCATGAGCTTCCACAGAAGATAACTGGTATTGTCATTGTGTCTTTGTATTACATTTGCTGCCAGACAAACTTTGCTTTTTTGTCTCTTCTATATGAGTCAGTATGTTGATTGAATTTATCGTATTTTTTAAGTAGACTTCTATTCTCATTTTTTTAAAAAATGCACTGCATATACAGCAATTGAAGTTGTCTCATGTTGTCACTGTTTGTTCTTCTCGTTCTAGGTGATGTGATTGTCTATATTAATGAAGTTTGTGTCCTTGGACATACTCACGCAGATGTAGTCAAACTCTTCCAGTCTGTTCCTATTGGTCAGAGTGTCAACTTGGTGCTATGTCGTGGATACCCTTTGCCCTTTGATCCTGAAGATCCTGCCAACAGCATGGTGCCACCCCTTGCAGTAATGGAGAGGCCTCCGGTAGTGGTAAATGGAAGACATAACTATGAAACTTATTTGGAATACATTTCTAGGACTTCTCAGTCTGTTCCAGACGTAACAGATCGACCACCACACTCCTTGCACTCCATTCCAGCAGATAGTCAGCTTGATAGCACATTCCCACCACCTGCCCATGATGATAATGTATCAATGGCTTCTTCTGGGGCCACCCAAGCTGAACTCATGACCTTAACCATTGTGAAAGGGGCCCAGGGCTTTGGCTTCACTATAGCAGACAGTCCTACAGGACAGAGGGTGAAGCAAATTCTAGACATTCAGGGATGTCCTGGTTTGTGTGAAGGTGACCTCATTGTTGAGATCAACCAGCAGAATGTACAGAACCTGAGCCATGCAGAAGTAGTGGATATACTTAAAGAATGTCCTGTTGGAAGTGAAACTTCTTTGATTATCCATAGAGGAGGTAAGTTTGGAAAGTCTGTACAATTACAAAAATGTGTGTAAAAGGTTCTAAACCATAAGACATACATATACTCACTACATCCTTGTTTGCTAGATTGGAAATTAATTTCCATGTCGTGGGAAGTAACACCATTGGTTCTGGAAAAGTGTGTCTGTAATTAAGTATCCTAGGCAAAATCTTACAGTTTGTTGTACATTCCTTTATGTGTTTTGAGTGTCAATGGTCCCATCTCTGGATAAGAGTAAAACTAGGGCAATTCCAGACCTTTCACCCCATAATAGTTTGTGTGGTGTCTGCAGTAAACTCATGTAGTCCCAAAGCAGTGCTGCAAGCTTTAGGTATAGCTGTATGTATTGACTCATTAATGTAGATCAAAATCAGAGCAATTTATTTGCCCTTTACAAGGTTACTGGTTTTCTTAAGCCATTTTGCCTCCTTTTCATTCATTGTAAAAATTTTGTGCAACAGTTATTGGGGTTATTTTCTTTCCTGATAACAGAGATCCATGGTATATATTTCTCTAATTTTTAAAAAAATAGCTTCTAGTGACTTGTTTTTTTCTCACCAGCCTGACACAGTAAGTTTAAATGTTCACCATTGGAAGGGGAGAGTCAAGACTTACCCATAAAGAAGCAATAAGAACAGAAAAAGAGTTAAAAACTTGACAGGGATAAGTTATTTCACAGCTTTTCTTATTTTAGCCAAACAAAATTTCTTTGGTCTTTAGAGGTGAGCATCCATCCTAATTTATTATCTGAAATAAATAATTACTGGATTTTTGAAATTAAAAATCTGTTTCTCTAAAGGCATTCATATGTCACTTAATGTACATCATTCTGTGCTTAAAAAGAAAAGAATTCTGTGCACAAAGATGCAAAAATACTAACTACTTACCTTCTGAAGAATAGAAATTGGGAAGTGAAGCTCTAGTGTTTGCATATGCCAAATGTTTATCATTAGAATACCTAAAAGTCTTAGAATAAGGAATGTATTAACATTATATCTAATTGCAGAAGTAACAAACATAAGGTGATTATAGATGATTCATAGTCAATAAAGGCACATAGTCAATAAAGTATTTTTCTTGTATATATATAAAAAATTATTTACAAGAGACAGAATCTGATATTTGTTTTGGAATGAAACCAAATGAGGTGATAATTAAATTGGAGTCACTATAGTATATGAACTTGGAGAAAATTAATGGTTGCAGAGAAGGTGTATTCATTGGTTTTAAATCTGGTTCTCCTTAATGGCCATTAAGAATCTTGAACAATGGAGTAAGCAACATTTTTTTATTAAGAAGCTGACAAATTAGGGAGAATTTCATAACCAAAAAAGAGCATAAAGTGGATTAGAAGGCTTAGTGTAACCCCAAAAGTTGGAATTTTATTTTGAAAAAGGCAAGATAATCACCCTCTAGAGGAAAACAATTTAGAACACCAGTCTTCAGAGAAAAGTGGAGTATGAAATCCAGTATGCTGAACAAGCCTGTAATAATAGACAACAAAATAGATATTTCACCAATCAGTGCAGGACAATAGAAAAAAAAAAACTTGAAGCAGCTACATACTCAAGCCCTTGAGGATAATTGCTCTCTCTTCAGAATTTCTTCTTAGATCATTGATTCATGATCAAAACATGATAGTTTAACATTGATCAGCATGACAGTTTAACAAGTTCTGGTACATTAACCGAGCTGTGGTTATTTTCTACACATCTCTGTGGCAGGTAGGAGATACTGCAGTGAGCTCACGGCTCGATAAAAGCACTGTAAGTTTACACCATCTCCTCTCAGCTCAGGCCAAACATCCCTGGCTCAGCTGACGTGACATACTAGGTCCAAACAACACATTTAACATTTAACCCTTGTTGGGGGATGAAGTGATTGGTTGCTTTAGAGAATGCAAAGACAAAGAGAGTGTGTTTCCTTCGTGGGAGAACAATGACCAAGACTAAACCAAATGTTTGGAAGGACTACAATGTCATTAAACTTAGGGGGATGATACAGAACGAATGCAAGTTTGGTACCATAAATTTTTCAGAAATAATGACTATGGCTTAAGATTGTGAGATTAAACTAAAATTTTAAAAAGCTCACTTGTTTGAGGGATTGAAAAAATAGTGTATGAATCAAACCTACTCCACCTAAGAGATGGCTAAATCATATCTTAACACAAATATGAGAACTGTTTTAAGATTAAAACCAGATCTTTGTTTCTTTTTTTTTTCCTCTATTCGTAGGAAAAGGAAATCTGTGTGACTAAATATACACTTATAATGCGAGTTATTATGTCTGTGTTAGTTGTCATGTCTCTTTTTATAGTCCCTGGGCAGAAATAGGTTTTTCTATGATGTAATTCATGTAATTCCACTCTAGATGTTTCAAATAAGTCAGGTATATCTAGGTGTACCTTAAAACTATATTTGCTGCTTGACTGATTGTAAAAGGAGTAGAGGATGACTGATTTAGGTGTATATGTCTATCCAACATGTTATGAATAATAAATAGGTGATAAGATTTGGTCATGTGAGATAATCTGAATACAAAAAAATACTTAGAGTAACTTTCTTTGATTCTAAAATCTTTAGTCACCAGTAAAGCAAAGCATACTTTCTCATTACTCATGGATCCAATTTTCATTTTATTAACTTTGATGTGTAATGACACTTGAATTATGCCATCCTTTTCCATCATTACCCTATACATCCTGTCTTTAATGTCTCATTTTTAAGATTAAGACCAAAGGGCTGTTCCTGCCTGTGGAGGAAGGCTATGTTTTGCATAGGGTTGTGTGTTGCCTTGTAATGTTTTTGTCTCTGATATGAATATGGCCTGACTGCACACCTAATTGTGGCAAATCCATTTCTGTAAGTGACTTAATTTCTTTCTCATCCAGCAATCTTAATCTACATTGCAGACAAAAACCAGATTGACATTGACTGAGATTTGTTGTCACTATAGGAAGAACTATCTCATTTGGAAAAAATACTCCCTTGGATGCACATAGTATGAATGCATTTTAAAAACTGTTGTCCCTTAAGCTTAAAAGGTCAAGAGCCAGAGTATGCAGGAGAAGGAAAGGTCTGCATGTTTCAAAGGGATGGAGGGAATAGCAGTACTCACATTTAAAGAGGCCACTAAAATCTCTCTGAGACTTGTCATGGGTTACAGTCCAGCTGGAGGAAGTCCCACAACTCATAGTGTACTCGTTTTAAGACTTCTAAAGCAGAAGTCGCAATGTATCTGCTTGTTAAAAAAATAGTAATGGAAATAATATAATTTTCTATCGAAGGAAAGCATCTCTCTAGCACTGGCTAGACATTTTACTGTCTTTTTCTTGTTTATTGGACAAGTTCCTAGCTAAGTAGATGCACCATAATAGTTCAGTATCTGTACATCTGTTTTTGCTGAACAGCCATATTGTTTCCATTGATTACTATGAGCTGACAGATGTGTTTGTACTGAAAAACAAAAACTAAAATTAATGGAAAAGTTAGAAAAGTGTTGCAAAAAATAGGGGGAGGAAAAAAAGAGGAGAAAAAAAAAGAAGAAAAAAAATTAATATAAAAGAAAAAAAATAGCACCCAAAGACGTTAGAGATTTACTTCTTTCCAGCTTTGCTTCAGGCTTTACACTTTATTCTCAGCTTCTGCAATCGATGTAGATTTTAGTGAGTATAGGTTGCTGAAATACTGTGGAAGAGCTCTCAAAAATCAGTCTTTCTAAATGTAGATAGAGCATAAATTCTGAATTAGTCCAGTACTACTGAAAAACAGCACTTAGTGTTTGAAGTGGTATGTAGCAAATTTATGTAGAGCAAAATATTCAGTAATGAGGACTTCAAAAACTAGGTTTGGCATGTTCTACTAATTGAGTTATCCAAGTATTTGACATATGCCATCTCTTTTGAAAAGTACCTTTGAAATATATTAACCTATAGACAGCTCCAGAAGTGGTCTTCTAAAAGACCTTTTTTTCCTGTCTAAAAAAGAAGTGATAGATTCAAATCTAGACCCATCAAGACTGTGTCTGAAATGCTGTTGTTAAGGAAACCTGCAGACAGCCCAGAACTGATTCATGAAGTTATGGCAACTCATAGCAGGTGTTAAGAGTGAAACATTAAATGCAAATAGTGGGAGGCTGACAAAATTCCTACATCAGGTGGCTATTTTATAATCCTAGCATAAGAGAATGGTAGAATCCAAACTGGCTCTGAGAAACTGAGAATGTTGGTACGAAATTGAGCCAGAGAGCTGACACACTGTTGACTCTGTTGAATTGTCAGCCCAGTCCTGGTGTGGGATGACTGGCAGCAGCCAGAGTCACTGTGACATGGCATGGAAATAGTGAGGGCCACATGCAATGCACACACAGTCAAGATGAGGAGGGAGAATTTAACTACCTACTTGTAAATTGTGTGCATAAAAGAAAGGCAAATTATCTTTCTCAGATATTGTATAAATCTTAGTAGAAGTGTGCAGCTCCTTAAAACCACTAACCACCAGATACCAGTAAATCACACACAGCATTAGCAATTTTAAAAACAGGCAGAAATTTCACCAAAAAAACCTCTGAATATTCTAGTGAAAAACACTAATCCCTGAAAATAAGCAGACTTCAGTGGAAAGAGCCCTCCATTTTCAGTACCCTTTCCATGGACTTATTTCAAATTTGCCAGGTTTGCCTTTCTCCCATGGAGGTGAGATTTTTTTTGTTTTGTGTTTTTGGGTTTTTTTGTTTATTTGTTTGTTTTATTTTTGCCAGGATTGCTATGTGTCTCAATTCATCTGGTCACAAAAGCTCATGCTTCTTTATCTCCAGGTTGTTGTCTTTTGGAAAAGACTTTATCTGCACAAGATAAAGCTGAGGCAGCACTGTCACCCTGCTAGTCTGGCCCAGGAAATTCTGATCTCTTTGTTCCATGAGCTCATCCCACCACTGAGATCTCTGTGGTTTTTATTCTCATTCTGCAGTTCTTTATTCACAATATTAACAG